CATCCGTCCGTCCATCTGTCCATCTGTCCATCCATCCATCCATCCATCCATCCATCCATCCATCCATCCATCCATCCATCCATCCATCCATCCATCCATCCATCCATTATCTTTCTCTTGTTCTACAGTCGGGTCTCGGAGGCTGCAGCTTGAGCAGGGAGGCCCAGATATCTCTTTCCACAGCTACCTCTTCCAGCTCTTCTAGACTCTCAAGGCATTCCCAGACCAACTGAGAGACGTAGTCTCTCCAGAGTGTCCTGGGTCTTCTCCCATTTGGACATGCCCAAAGGGAGTTGCCCAGGAAGCATCCTTACCAGATGCCCGAACCACCTCAATTGGTTCCTCTCGATGTGGAGGAGCAGCGGTTCTGCTACGAGTCTCTCCCGAATAATTGAACTTCTCACCCTATCTCTGAGGGAGAGTCCAGCTACCCTGCGGCGGAAACTCATTTCAACCACCTGTATCTGTGATCTCTTTCTTTCAGTCACTACCCAGAGTTCATGGCCATAGGTGAGGGTAGGAACGTAGACTGACTGGTAAACAGAGCGCTTTGCCTTACAGATAAACTCCCTCTTCACCACAATGGACCGGCACAGAGTCCACAATACTGAAGATGCTGCATCAATCCGTCTATCAATCTCACCCTCCATTCTTCCCTCACTCATGCACAAAACCCAGAGATACTTGAACTTCTCCACTTGAGGCAGAACCTCACCCTTGACCCGACTCCACTTTCCATTTGATATTTAAATAAAATCCAAGTATTTACTGGCAAATGCAAGTGCCTGTTCTGTATGCTCCTGCTGCTTGTTGCTACTGACCTTGTTTTGATCTCATCCTTCGCTCGTTCCCCATTCGTACTTTTTGGATGGGATCCACAGATGCAGCTACTGCAGAGCCTGGGGCGAGGCGCCGGTCAATCCAACACAACATAACAATTCAAAGCAGTACTCTGTGGCTTCAAGCCCAATGTACCCCACTGTCACTGGATTGTTGACCTCACATATTTTACGAGGTCTTTGGTGCTTAGTGGGCTGTCACGGCTCATTAAATGCTTTAGGAATGAACTTGCACAGCAGACTCTCAGTGATTAATAAACATAGAAAGAGAAAGGGAGTAGACTCGAGCAGAGGCTCTGAGATAAGAGTTGTCCTTCAATTTTATAGAGGCTTGTAACTATACTTGTTAGCGCATATAAAAATTAAATATATCAACATTTTTCCTGCTAGGATGGACTGATTCTGAATTTCAGATAAACTTCTATTACAGATTTTTTTTTTTTTTTTAGTGAAAGGACATCACTCATGTTACTTATTACTTGTGCATATTAGATCCATAGTTTATATTTAGCTGTTTTCTCTTCCCCACCAGAAGTTATTTTTAGTTTGTTGGACTGTACATCATTGCCTAATATGCTGCCTGTCAGGCACAACTGATGAACTATGGAGATTGTTGATAAACAGCATGTGAGAAACAAAACTGCTTCTCTAGAAGGTGATGCTGGTCATAGTATAATCCTCCCACAGTAAACCCAAGTAGAGTAATTTTAGGAACCTCATCAGATGTACTTTAACTCATCCAAACTGTCTTCCAAATACACTCATACAATTATATATTTACAAAAAAGCAAAATATATTAAAGAGTATATTTTTATTTCATACATCTCCTCCTACATGTCTCTGCGTGAGTGCAGCTACGGAGTGCGCTCTCAGGACATTATTACCTGCAGTGTTCCCTCAGTGAGGACTGAACTAGGCAAAAGGGCCTTCTCCTACTCCGCTCCTGTTTCCTGGAATATCTTACAAAAAGATTTGAAGCTCTCGACCTTGACCTCTCTAAGTGGCTTTAAGAATCTGTTGGACTCCTGGCAGGGTCCAATGCTGACATGTTCCTGTTTTTAGTTTTATACATTTGTCTTGGAATCTAGCTGTTTTTTTGGTTTTGTTACCTTTTTCCTTTTAGCCATCCTATTTGTTAAAAAAACAAACAAAAAAAAAAAAAACTGTAGTATGAGTTTTTATAACTGCTTATTGTTGTTGCTGTTGTCCATTGTTGTCATCTTTCTTTGTTGAAATCAGGTCTCTCTTGTAAATGAGTCCTCGAGGCTCAATGGGATTTACCTGTATAAATAAAGGTTGATTGATTATTTGATAGATGGAGAAAGTGGGTACAAGGTATTAAATGTCCAAAGTAATGTCCCAGACTGGACTTCTTTTGTCTTTTTAGCCATCCAGCAGTGTGGCTCTGTTCTTCCTCATCCATCTCCACTTTGTTCCACTCCACAGTCGGCCAGTCTGGTCTCAGGGTAGCTTGTTGCAAACCACCATTGCTGTCTGCCATTGGTAAGAGGAAGTTCCCATGGCGACGGGTCGCTGTGGGCTATAAATATGTTGACCGGTCACAGAGCAGTTAAAGACGCCTGCAGCAGCAGTGAGAATTTATCTTGAATTGTTCCCATGCTCTCCGTAGGCAAAGGCTGGGTGAAGATGAAAATATCCAGCTTAGAAAGTTATTAGCCCCAGTTTCAGTTAGTTTGGCTAAATTAAACGTACTGAACTAAAGAAGCCCTGAAGATTTTAAACTATCTCACTTCATTTGTCTCTGAATACATTTAAGACCTACATCTACTTATGGTATTATGAAGTTAATGAGAGATTTATGGAGGAAAAAAAATGGCACAACCAAACCATATATTTGCAATGTATTCTTTGGAAAACTTTCAAGAGGTTCGCTCCAACATTGATCCAACTACCGATACTGTCTTGAGGTTAACACATCTAAAGCTATAACTTTTGCACACATTATGCAGCTCTTTGCTTTGGTCGGGGAGTAGTGACCCAGACGCTAGAGAAGGTGAACCTGTGATCAGAAGGTCGCCAATTCGACTCCCTGGACTAACCATCAAAATGTGGGTGGGAAAGGTGAAGCACCTACACCTGCCTCCCCCCTTAGTGTTTCTCCTACCATTATACAAGCAGGGCACCCTGCCCTGTCAACAGAACCAAGTGCCCTGCCTACTGAATCCCTCCCCCTGTCCCCGTTGACAACTACTGGCACTAAGGTAGCACTAAGCTAGTGATGCGCAACAATGACACGCTAACTAAAAAAAAATGCTAGTTTCACTCACGCTGAGCCGCCAACCCTCCGCTCGAAATCTGTAGGTACAAACACATACGTGTCTTCGTCCCCACCCCTCAACCAGTCAACAAAAATCTCAGAAGATATGAGCACCCTGCCAAGACAAGTAAACTAGGGGCAACAACAAACCAGTTCTGCTTGTGATAAGATGGTCTCTTTGGTACGCCCTCTCCTCCATTGCCGGCCCTCTTCCTCAAAAATAAACTGTCCAGATGACCTGACTGAAAAATGTTGGAAGAAAAGTAGTTCTTTGCTTTAGTTGTCTGACTTCAAGTTGTTTCTACAGTATATTTTTGCTCATGTTAGTATTAACTTGCAAATGTTACTGGTGACTTACATAAATACAAAAGTGATCACATAGTCACATCCATGCGACTCAACATTTACACCTCATCGAGCATAATTATGTCGGTCAATTCCAAACATTAAAACTGAATTGAAAGTCCTCACATTCAATAACAATAAAACATTGTTTTTGCTGTTAAAACTGATACAGAATCAGTTTAGCTGTCATTGGAAAAATCTCTTTAAATCATGTAAATCATGTATCGATTGATTTATTTTCACAAAAAAAAATTTCATAATAACATTTCAGTTGTCATCTAAAATGCACACTATGTATTTTTTGTATCTACCGTACTTCAAATTCAAGTGCATTGCAATCTGGAACCCTTTTTGTGTATTACTATATTTTGCTTCTATAGCATATAATGAATGTAAGGGTTTACACTAGCTTAATACATTATATATCACACTGTATTTCACATTTATGATGAGGTCAATATAAATGTTTCATTCAGTCTTGTTTAGTCTATCCAGATGTTAAAACATTTTATTTCTAAAATGCCCACTTGTTAGTAGAACTTAGCTCCCAGATATTATGTTTAAAATAACCTTAAGAGCTCTAGTTGGCTTGAGCAATAAAACATGAGGCACATAAACTTGTTTGTTTTATATATTTTTGTAGAGTCCACTCTGCTGTCTCAGAGGACTATGTGAATTCTCAGGCCTTTCTACCAGTTCACCCAGTCATATAACAAATGTAGAGCTCAGATCCTTCAGTTGTTTGACAGAGAAGATTTTTTGTCTTAAAATAATTCTAATTCTGCTCATGAATAAGTAATGAGGAGGCTTGAGACACAGAAGACACACGCACCTGCTCCTGTATGGTCTCTGCTTTCGTACAAACACACATAAACCCACAGAAGCTTGCAGAGATTCCCAGTCTGGTCCCTTTTATCCCCCCACCCTTGTATTTTCCCTGATTACAGCCGCAGGGGGTAGACAGTTAGGTGAGATGGGGCTGAATCTCTAATGTCCTAGCAATCTGTTTGCACTCTGAGTTAATGCTGCGAAATGTAGCATTTTCAAAATATCGCACTATTTTAGAGACAGCTTTTCTCTTCGCTGTTATTTTGCAGAGTGTTGGGGTGTAAATAATATTTCAGTGCTTATTAAAGTGTCATTCAGATCCCCGATTTTAGGCATGCTCTACTCGCAATGGTGCACATTAGTTATTTATTTCTGACTTTTCCTCACTGGGGTCAGGGAAAGGTCTGACAAATCTGCTTAATAATTAAAGACGTTTTCTGTAACGTGACGACTCTTGGTATCTACAAACCACTTTCCTCTGAGGTGTTGAGCGATGGTTGTGGAAACGGGAAATAAAAGCTGCCAAATGTGTGTGGTGCTGTGTCTGATCGTGTTTGAAAACACTCCACACGATGGTTAAGTTCAAAACACTACAAGACATCAAGCAGAAAGGCTTGTTACGCTTTGAAGAACAAGTTTTCTTCTTCTCTTTGTCATGTTTTCACCACTTTGTGCAGAAAATGATGATCCTGTGTGTTCCTCGCTTTCACAGATGGAGAGGGAAATACTGGGATATGATTCCAGGTGATCCAGCAAAGGACCTCTTCAGTTTAAAAGAGAACATAAATGGTGAGATGCTATTCTTAACTAGAGAAATTGCATTTCCAGTGAAAATGCACTGTCAATGCTTATAGCTGAAGGATTTGCTGAAAACAGCTGAAATTAGCTAAAAACATGCTGAAATCTAGCTGAAATGGAAGAACAAGCCTAGGTTAACAGAAGAAGGCAGAAATAACATATATTTGATGAATTAGGTTTAAGTAAACAGAAATCAGCACAAATATGAGTAAATTAGCTAAAAAAAGCTGAAATTAGCACAAAAAAAGGTGAAATGGCAGAAAGAAGCTTAAACTACCAGAAGGAAATGGAAGGAGCTGAAACGAGCTAAAAAAAAAAAAAAAAGTGTAATTAGCCAAAAAAGCTCCGTTTAGCACAAAACAGCTAAAAAGTATCTGAAAGAGCAGAAAAAGCTGAAACTTGAAGAAAAAAGCTAAAAGGAGCATACTAAGCTGAAATTTGCATAAAGAAGGCTGAAAGTAGCAAAAGTTAAAATGAAAAACTAGAATTTATTTGAAACAGCTGAAATTAGCTAAAAATGCTTAAAAAGGTAGAAGAAAAGGTGGAACAAGCTTAAATTAGCAGAAGAGAGCAGAAAGAACGCATTCGCCCAGTTAGACTGAAAGAAACAGAAATGAGCACAAAACAGCTGAAAAGAAGCTAAAAAAGCAGAAAGAAACTTAAATTACCAGAATGATGAGAGAGCACATTTTTGCTGAACTGTGCTGAAAAAAGTAGACATGAGTGCAAAAAATGTGTAATTAGTTGAAAAGGCTAAAATTAGAATAAAACTGCGAAAGAGTAGCTGAAATAGCAGAAAAAACTGAAACACATAAATAATCTGAAAGGAGCATAACAAGCTGAAATTTGCAGAAAGAAGTTAGAAGAAGCACAGAAATGTTGTAGTTAGCAAAAGTATCTAAAAGGGTCACAAAACAGCAGAAACACAGCTGAAATTAGCTGAAAATGTTTCAGTTTGCAGAAGGAAGCTGAAAGAAGCTGAACCAGAACAAAATGTGAAAGGAGCAGTAAAAGGTTGTAAACACAGCTAAAGATCTGAAGGATGTAAAATGAGCTCAATTCATTTTCTAGGAAAAAAGTGGAAGAAAAGGCTAAATATTTAAAAAAGCTAAAGCTGCACCAATACAATAAGTCACAGCAGGATTGTCCTGAAAGAGCTGAACGTTTTGATTTACGACTTGTTGAAATAGCTTGAAAACTGCGGGACGAGAATAGCGCCAAAAACGTATGGAAGAAAAATGGATCACAATAGTGAGAATGCTTCATAGACATTCACACAAAAATTAAATCAAAAGTTTGCAACTTCAGTTATTTTAATTCCAGTCCAGAAAAACATCTAAAAAACTACAAACATTCACTATTCAAGTCTGGGCGGGGACACTATTCAAACATTCGGGGGACTTCAGCTTACCGCTTGTCAAGAGATTTCCTGTTAAACATCTGTCCTAATCCAAAAGGTTTTAAACCAAAGGAACTGGATTTCTGTTATGTAGTTAAAGACAATATGTTTTCTGTCAGAGGAGCTTTGATCAGTTCACAGTTGGAGAGGTCAGTTTCCAAGCTTTAAACTGGACAAGGTTTTCTGTTTTGTAAGCTAAATTTACATGCAGATGAATCTCACTCCCATCCCGCCTGAGGGTTGTTAGGGTCACATGTTTAAAGCTTTGAACGCCACACTCTTCACGTTTGAACTGAAAACGCTCTCCAGCTGGGAAGCAAAATGCCTTTAGAGACTGAATTGTTTGCTTAGATTTTAAACTTTTTAGATTTACCATGTCCTGATTGACCAAAATCTGGTTTCTGTTCCCTAACAGAATATTTGCCATGCTACATGGGAAGGCTCTGAACTCCTCCCTGGTCTTCCTTCTCATTCTCATCATCGTAGCTGCTGTTCATGGTCATTCATATCCCCAGTTTTCACGCAATGACACTGAATTCCAGCACCTGGTTCTCCACCCAGACCCAACTGTGGGCACGGTGTATGTGGGAGCCAGGGACCATCTTTTCCAGTTGGATGGATTAGATGGACTCCGGCTGGAGCAGGAGGAGACCACCGGTCCTGTGAACGACCACAAAAACTGCCTTCCCCCTGTCACAGAAAGCAACTGCCCTGCAGCCAGAAGAACAAGCAACCACAACAAACTGCTTCTGGTGAACCAAAAAGCATCCGAGTTGATCACCTGCGGTAGCGTCCATCAGGGCACCTGTCAGAAACGTAGCCTGAAATCCATCAAGAAGGTTCTCTTTTCCACTGAACGGCCTGTAGATACGCAGTATGTTGCAGCCAATGATCCTTCAGTGTCCACCGTGGGGTTGGTGGTGGAGCTCCCGGACGGTCTAAAGACAGTTATGTATGTTGGTCGAGGATACACTGCCAGCCACCCACCCATTTCCACCCGCCACCTTTCATCAGAGCCTTTCTTTTCTTGTGAGGAGACAGCTAAGCTGGCCGTGGCTGGCCGTTTGTCAGAATACGACCATCACTTTGTAACGACGTTCACACGACGCTCACATGTCTACTTCTTGTTTTACCGCCGTGACATCAAATCGGTGTCGAGGGAGTACCGGAGTTATGCAGCCAGGGTTTGCCTGGAGGACACTTCCTACTACTCGTATGTGGAAATTCCTCTGGTGTGCAGATCACCATCTTCTCCTTCCAGGAATTATAACCTGCTTCAGGCTGCTCAGGTACGTTTATGGGTTGTGTAAAAGCATTATGGTCACCATTGTCTAACTTTAATTTAGTTCTTTGAGGCGGCTGTGGCTGAGTGGTTAGAGCAGTCGTCCTCCAATGGGAGAGTTGGGGTTTCAAATCCATCAGCAGTCACATGCCAAAGTGTCCCTGGGCAAGACACCGAACCCCTCATTGCCTCCGATGTGTGTCCCATGGGTATATGAATGCTATAAAGCTCTGGTTAGTCTCTTTAGGATGATTTGTTCAATTAGCTTTGTAGAGATCTAGTAGAGTGCTGTATGAATGGGTAAATGAGGACACAGGTTGTAGTGTAAAGCGCTTTGAGTGTCTTGATAAGACAGAAAGTACTGTCCATTGACCATTTACCATTCTTTGCTGACCATCAAAACATCTACTATGTAAACTACTGTTAGTGACTCAAGCTTTTACAGCAAATTAATGTATTTTTCCTTTACTCCAAATGATTTAACGAAGGCTTGCAGGTAGTTAACGTGAAGGGAGTAGCTCTTCAAAATACCATTCAAGGTCTTGATGCCCACAGTTTTACTACTGCGTACAACTCTCCATCTAATTTTTCTTCCAAACACTGTACTGTATGTGGATTTTTATCAGGACAACACTGATGTTTTCCTGCCTTGTGTTTTTCTCACGCCTTTGTTGCCACAGGTGGGACAAGGTGCGGGTCTGCAAGGCGAAGATCTGCTGGGAATCTTCTCCACCCGCATTAGCTCAACAAACAACAGCCCTGTGGACTCCTCGGCTCTGTGCGTTTTCTCCCTGGATGAGCTCGACAGGCACATCGACTCCACCCGTGACCTCTGCTACACCAAAGACGGGTTGGTGGAGGGCAGAGGGGAGGTGGCTTACATAGAGTACGAGGTCAAGTCCAGCTGTGCTAACCTACCTTTGGTAAGGATTCGGATGAAGACGCAAATATTTTGAAGCTCTTGGACTTAAAATCTATGATCATGAATGTTTTCAAATCATTGTTTAAATGATGTCCCTTTCCAGAGAAGAGCAGTTTCTGTTGTTTTGTACGGCTACGTGTCTATTTAGAGCAAGACTTACAGTAGGTACATTAAGGCTATATATCAGGAGAAGTAATGCCTGCAGCTTAGCTATATTGACTCACTTGGCTTAAGTGTTCAGCATAAGGTAAAATAAATGGAATGCACAGCCAAGTAACAAGGAAAGACTGGGCTGGCACAATTAGAATGAGTAATGGATGGAAGTCTAGTAATGAGGCTTCTTTTGAAAAGCCCACAGTTCCCAGATGCCCGAAGAATATCTTTGCCCAGCTGCAGCCGTCCAGAGACCGTCTCCACTGATCTGCAGCCGCTCAGGTTCCCTCAGCCCTCCGAACCGTTTAATGGGATCGTTAGAGATCAATAAAGAAAACCAACCCTGAATCGTCTGTTCTGCAGCTTAATGAGCTCTGACAAGAAAAGATGAGAGTTTATTTTATTTTTTCCTTCTGGGATAAGAGGACAGACACTGAGCAGGAGAGCATGGAGGAGGAAAGTAAAACATGGGAGTAGAAGAAGGATTGTAGCCGAGAAACTGACTGGAGGAAAATGGGGCACTAAAAGAAAAAAAGACGAAAGAAAGAAAACAGATTTATTAGACCACTATTCCTCTAACAACAATAAAGCTGTCTTATTTTCTCCATAAACTGGAAAAAGAAAGATTTGCCGCTCTTACCTTGTTGTTTATGGTCAATCATGTGGAGCAGTGATTTGAAATGTATACAGAAAACAACAAAACAAATATTTTGTTGATAGTTTTGAAAAATAAACCCTCTACTTTAGTCTATGATGTAATTTGCTTAAAATGAAAAAAAAAATTGGACTCTCTGAATAATAACTGAAGCATGAACTTTTTTTTTTATCTCAAGTGTTTTTGCCACAAGTTTAATTAAGATCTTAAAAACAATCTTTCCAAACCGAATTTCATATTTAACTGGAGAAATTCCATTTAATGGTAGAATCCAGTGTGATGCTGAGTGCTGGATGTCTGTTGAAATTTGCTGAGTTGTTAAAGCAAAAAAAGCAGAACACTGGATAAAAACTAAAAGGAACTAACTGCTTTCTAAAAGCTAAAAATAACAAATTGCCAACTAAAAGTAAAAAATAGCAAAATGTATTAAAAAGCTAGACGTAGCAAAATGGTGGCTAAAAGTAGTTAAAATCTAGCTAAAAGCTAAATGTAACACAAGGCTATCTAAAAGCTAAAAGTAACAAAATGGTACCTAAAAGTAGCAAATGGCTAGCTAAAAGTTGTAAAACACACACACAAAAAAAGCTAAAAGTAGCAAGAGGCTAGTAAAAACTAAATGTCAACATCAAAAAGAGAGTATTTCTATGGAGAAAGTATTTGTAAACAACAATTAAAAAGTATAAAAAATTAAAGTAGAAGTCATGGCACCCATCTTCTGAATGAGCTGAACATTTTGATACAAGAAAGGCCAAAATAATACCAGTGTTTCCCCTACCATAATGCAAGCAGGGCTCCCCGCCCTGTCAGCAAACACCCCTCCCCCGGTCGACAATCGCTGTCACTGACGTAGCGCTAAGCTAGCGGCACGTAATACAGACGTTCTAGCTCAAAAGCTATGACTATGCAGTGTTTCCCCAAGATAACTTGCCATGGCGGGGTGCTCATCTTGTCCGTGATTTTTGTCGGGGGTGGGGTCCGTCCCACGAGTAGACAAAAATCACAGAAGACATGCACCCTGCCAAGGCAAGTAAACTAGAGGAAACACTGACACAGAGTATGCAGATGTACTTAGATAAATAAAAGCATGAAACAAAGTTGTGGATGCTGAATCATAATTCTCAAAATCAAAATGACTTCAAATTACAGCAGTACTCATTGTGTTTATGCACCAAGTAACCAAACTTTCCATCCTGTCACCTGGTTGTAGAACACCTTGAAGGCGTACCCGTGTGGCTCTGACCACACCCCCAGCCCCATGGCGAGCAAAGACGCGATGGAAGCCAAAGCTGTGTGGCAAACTTCAGTCGCCCGTCTTACTGCTGTGGCCGTCAGCGTCAGAGAGGGACACAGCATCGCTTTCCTGGGAGACGCCAGAGGAAATCTGCACAAGGTAGTTGACCTTCCCGAGTACGCACCTGGTGGAAGGCGTGAGACAACCATGACTCATCAAGATTACCACTGAAACGTTTAATCTGAGTCATTTAGATGTTGCAATCGTGTGAGCCTTAGGGCTCACCTGATCCGTCTGTACGAACTCACAGCTCTGTCTGCTTTTATGAGTTTTCTTACAGCAAAACAAAAGAACTGCACCTCACAAAAACACCAGACTTCAGTTTCAGGTTGTTTTTAATTTGTTTGATCTGTTGCTTATTTTTCTACATCGTCACCACCTTACACTGCAGTGTGGAAGATTCCCGTCATTCCTGCACTCGCAGTGTTCCAACGTCCACAGACTAGCGTACCACAGTGATCCCATGCTTAATGCGTTTGCTTTGAGCTGGGCAGGATGTGATTCTTGGAGACGTGGTGCATTTTTTTTAACGTTATGATTTAAAGACGTGAAAACTGACTATTTCAACATTTTTTCTTGAAGTCCAGTGCTGCTTTTGATCTGAAAAAAAGAAGAATAACGGTATTTATTTTAGATGTTTGCACGACAGGATCACGATAAGAGGATTCTAGATCAAACTGCGCCGTGATGATCTGTTAGTCTGAGTGTAAGGGAGTGAGACGTGGGGCTCGACTTAACACTTGAAGTTAGCAGATCAAAGCGGTATTACTGTACGTGCAACCATCTGAAACATTCTGTTGGAACAGGATTATTGTATTATGAGAAATCAAATTCCACAGAATCTAGATTCAAACAGCAGTCCACAGTTTTGGAAATGCCCTTGTAGGTTTTTTTTTGTTGCTAGGAGTTAAATGTGAAACCATATTAGAGCAGCCATATTTTTACGAGGCAGCACAGTGGAGCAGTTGCCTCTTAGTGAGAAGGTTGTCGGTTAAAATCCCAACCGGGGACCAAAAACACGCATGTTAGGCTGATTGGTAACTCTAAATTGTCCCTAGGTGTGAGAGAGAGAGTGAATGGTTGTTTGTCTCGTTTGTCTCCATGTGTCCCTGTGATGGACTGGAGTAGAGGTGCATTCAGGCCCAAAAAATTTGACCCGGTCCCAGCCCATAGCCATCATTTCTGAACTCGACCCGACAAATTAACAGTAATAGGTCCGAGCCCCCCCCCCCCCCGACATTTTAAATTAAGCTTTGACTGCTTTTAGTTATTAATGGTCGGCGGATGCGTGGACCGCAATAAAGTTGTTGGACATTCGAGCTCTGTGGCTTCAGCGGTGTGTTCCTCTCGTTCGATCCGATGCAGGCAGTCTGATTTTACTCAGCTGCGTTCGAACAAGAGGCTCTCGCACAAGTGACTGCTGGATATGGGCACCAGTGACCCCCACAACCCGTAAAGGAATAAGCAGGTAAAGATAATGGATGGATGAATAGCTGCCATATGTTCGGAGGAGTGGTGGCGCAGAGGCTAGATGGGAAGGTCGCCAGTTCAACTCCCCAGACAAACAACTTCAAAATGTGGGTGGGAAAGGTGAAACACCCAAACCTTCCTACACCCTCATTTTCCCCACTCTGGGCCCTTGAGCAAGGCCCTTAACCCCCACCATCTTCTCCCCCGGGTGCCCTACATGGCAGCTCTCTGCTCCACACAAAGTACTGTGGTAGCTCAGTGGTCTGTGGTTGCGTCAGGAAGGACATCCAGCATAAAAACTATCACCAAGTCTTTGTGGGAGTTAGTTTGTTGTGGCGACCCCTGAGGAAGGGAGCAGCTGAAAGAAGGGAATATGCTTAGCATAAGTTCATGCTGGAACAGCACTTCAGCCCACCATTTTTGTTTGTCTTATATCATTCATTTAAAAAAAAAATCAAAATGACAAATCTTTACAGATTTGTGTGTTTGCATCACTCCTTACCTGCGAATATTCTGGAATGATAAACTAGTATTTATAATATTTCCAGCCCTCAGGCAGTCAAATCATTAAATCATTCAACTGGGTTGATTTTAATAACATTCTCAGAAAGTAATCATCGGATGTGTCAGGTTCTGCCGTCAGAAGTGTTGAACCCAAGTGCAGGAGGCTCGTGGAAAAAAATCAAAATATTTATTTTACAAAAACACAAAGCAAAGGCTGACGGGGCAGCGTACTCACAAGTGAGCTGGACACAGGACGGAAGGCAGAAACACACCGTGAGGACAATCCCGAGACAAAGACAAGACGCAGAGGAACTGAATATATACATAGACACTGACTGGGACAACGACAGACACCTGCGGGGATTAACAGGAGACACAGGTGAGACGGGGCTGAACACAAGGAGGGAAAACACTGAGCTGAACTGGAAACATGAGGGAACAGACAGACAGGACAAAAACCCTTCTACGCCTGATTACCTTATCAATGCAAAGCTAGTTGACTTTAGCAAACACAAAAAAGTCAAAAATTCAGTTTTCCTTACAGGTGAATTGGGGTCAAGTAATAGCTGAGGTTCATCCCAAACTCATAGTTCAAGCGCTAAGAGATCGAGCAAATCTTTAACGCTTTGACGTGCAAGGTGGTGGGTGACAGTGTTCCTTTAAGGACAACTTTTGTTGCTTTTTACACACTTGGAAAGAGCCAGACGATCTCAACAGATCATATCCTGCCTTTAGCTTCATAGAATGCATAGACAGGCAAATTAAATTAACGAAAACTCTTAGCAAAATGCTTATTTCCTTAAAACGGCCTGTAAGAAATTGGTTTTCTTTTAGTTTTTCCAAAATAAAATTCATACTAAATGTTTCATAAATTTGGTACCACTTTACGCTAAGGCTCCCCTTATAGATGGCTAACAAACAGTTTATAGATGTGTTATTAATTCCTTCATAAACACTTTATAACTCATTAATAACTGCTTATTATGCGTTAATTAAAGGTGACAGAGAAACAAAACTGACCAGTTTGTTGCCAAATAGTGAGTCAAATCTGCCTTTTATATATATTTCATCTAGAGTTGTTATATTGACTAAGTTACTACCTTGTAAGCACAATAAGCATTTGTAAACCAATTTTTTTAAGGATATAATTGTAGCCGGGTGGCAGATTTATATTTTCCACTTTAGTTGAATAACTCCACTTTAAGGTATCGAGGTGTTGATTTACATTTTTTTTTTGTTACAGCAGAAATGCTATTGAGTAATTTATAATATTAGTTGTAGAAACTTATGATGCACTGATAAAGTACAATATTATATGCTAAAGAAATAGGTTTACAAATGCGTAACTTAGTCTGAAATATTTAATATAACAACTATGAAATATATAGGTGAACAGATTTGACTCACTATTTGGCAAGAAACTGGTCAGTTTTGTCTCTCTGTCACCCTTAATTAATGCATAATAAGTATTTATTAATGATTTATAAAGTGTTTATAGAGGAATTAATAACGTATCTATAAACTATCCATCTATAAGGGGAGCCTTATTGAAAAGTGATACCGTAACCTTACTCTTAAAATAATATCGACTAATTTGCTCCTATTGCTTTCATTAAATTATTTCACTATACAATGATATGGATTAGAGAAACGATAAATGAACATTGTGTTTATGTGCGCAGATGCAGATTAGAAGGAGCACATTAAATATTAAATATGGCATGTAAAACGGTAGTTATTGCCTGGAGGTTTTTAGGTCACTAATCATTGTGAGCAACTTCCTTTACCATTATGTGCTGAGTGCATCCTTCTAATGGGACAACAGATCCTCTATTCTATTTGCAGTGATTTCATTAAGATGAGGTAACATGAGAGTTTGAAGGTCTGGGAATCACTTAAGCCAGAGGTGTCTTCCTGTGCTTCATATCAGATTTGACTGGTTGATAATCACATTTATGGCCACTTCTGCTGTGATCCTGTGCAAGTGTGATTTGATTTGTGTTTGAGATGGAAGATAAGGAAGGTAGTTGTTTTTTTGTTATTTTTCTTTTTTTGTCAGAGTTTGGGAGAATCAAACTTCCTTTCAAACTGGCTTTTTGAGCGCTTTTAGTATTTGTAGTAATAGTTGTAATTGTTTAACCAAAGTGGTGTTTTTCTGCCCTTATTTTCCAGGTGTACCTTGGTAAGGATGGTATGGTGGAGGTTTATGCTAACTCCATGATACAGCCTAACTCCCCCATCAACAGTGACCTGTTACTCGATGAAAATGGATCCCACATCTACATCATGACCAGAACCACGGTACGCGTTATACCTTTATGTATCTGCCCAGCAGATGTATAAACAGACGCAGCTTTGTTCCTATTCAGCCACCCATCCAGATGTCTTCATAAATGAGAATGAACATGGCTTGTCATCCGTCAGACAATTTATAGTTTGTCAGTCCTGCTTTGATATTTCCTCAAGCTGTGTGTCCTTCAAAAAAGAAAAGAGGCAAAGACGAAAAGGGAGCGGGCAGCTGGCAGCTGGGGTCAAAAGTCACAAACCCCACTGAGATGGGCACAACAGTCAGCAGGAGGTGTAAGGTCAGACATAACAAAAGTATTGATCATCAAAAGTGGCCTGCATTGTGTCGGCACACTCCCTACAGAGAGTGTGTAGGAAGCTGCGGATGGTGATAAATGAATAAGAGAAACTGCAAGTCTGTACTCAGACCCGGAGCAGTTGTTCTCCTAATTGAAAACCGGAACAAACAGTTTATTTTCAAGAACAAGACATATATTATTTGTATATGTGACAAAAACCAAACTGCTATAAGTTGTTTTAAAACAAGTCTGTTCACCTTTCAGGTTAAAAGTCTATACCATGATTTGCGGACTATAAGCCGCTACTTTTTTCACACACTTTGAACACCGCAGCTCATACAATGTTGCAGCTAATTTATGTTTTTTTTAGCTTCATGCCACCAATATATTTAGCCTTGTCACACCTGGGCGCTCACATAGCTGCCCAATACACGTCTCTCTTGGGGGGTGGGTCCTCCTGACAAATTGAGACTACCTGTATAAGTACAAGTTTAAAAAACTGACCAGTGAAATTACTGAACAGGTCACAGTGGACCAATGAGATTTGGTTTCATTGGTCCACTGTGGAGTGGGGAAACTTTGAATGGTATTAGTGTTTCCCCTAGATAACTTGCCATGGTGGGGCACTCATCTCGTCCATGATTTTTGTCGGGGGTGGGGGGGTGTGGAGAGACTGACCGAGACACGTCCTGAGCTGCGCAGCACCCTGTTTATCCCAACAGGTTTTTTTTTTTGGGGGGTGGGGAGACAGAGATACAGCCGCACGCTGTTTGCACCGACAGTTTTGCAGCTTTTGGGCAGGACAGAGGAGAGAGACAGAGACATCTCAGTCACGCGCTATCTGTACCGACAGTTTTTGTGTGTGTGTGTGTGTGGGGGGGGGGGGGGGCGGGGGGAACAGACTCACATAAGCCATGCGCTGATTGTACTGACAGTTTTCGAGGGGTAGGGGGTGTCTGCGTGAGGATTTAGCATGAGGGATGAGGCTGCCTTTAGCTTTTTAGCTTGTTCACCTGCATTGCGAGCTGCTAGTTTAGCGTTACGTCAGTGCCGACAGGTGGTTGGGGGGGGGGGGGGGGGATGTTGACGGGGCGCTTGGCTCTGTTGACGGGGCGGTGCGCCCCGCTTGTATAATGGTAGGGGAAACACTGTGTATGGTGCGATATGGTGTGGTATGGTGTAGTGTGGTGTGGTATGGAATGGTATGGAATGGTGTAGTGTGGTATGGTGTGGTATGGCGTGAACTTCTGCGGTTTATACACAAGTGTGGCCTATATACCATATGTACAGTTTATTTATTTTTTTTAGTGGGCATGGCTTATATTCAGGTGCGCTCAATAGTCTGGAAATTACGGTAAATGAAACTGTTGACACACTTAGAACCTATAAAGCCTATGGAGTGGCATTGTCCAGATTATTTATTTTGCCCAGATTTTTGTAGCATATTCCATACAGTTTTTGCAGCTGCACTTGGACTTTGTGCTTTAGGAGGGAGGCGGTGAGGAACATGATGAATATGAGGGATGGGGGTGTGTTCAGTTTTTAGGTGCAATGCACCCGGGTCCCGGTCATCTTTTGCTGGTATTTGAATACAATGGAATAGGATGTTTGGTTTATCCCTGATGGTTTATTGAGCCTGTTGTTGAGAGATGGTTTTGCTGATTTTTAGGTGTAAATTGAACAGGAATCACACACCATCACAACAAACAGGTTGGAAGTGTGCTGTACAATATGAAACATAAACTTAGATCAAGTTCTCTGACATAAATCTGAACATGTTCTATGGCTATCAAACCAGCTGCAGTCCAATTAACTAAACCCAAGTCACATGCAGCTAACCAAAAGCATTAGCTAGTAAAGGTAAGGCTAATTTTGATTAGTGAGGTTTACAAATACAAGCTACAATTGCTAAAGTAAGATGGCATTAATATTAGCTATAAGAGAAAAAATGTCAATACATGTAGACTACCAAGTTTTTACATGTATTATTTTCAGTATAGTAAAACATGTTGCTGTCATTAACTGAACATCTAGGATACATGGAATTACCAAAATTCATAGCTTGGTAATATAGTTAACAGTTTTAAGGTTCAAGGTGACTTTACTGTCATTCACATCAAATCTGGTACATGAGGTGGAACAAAATTATGTACTCAAGGTCCCAGTTACACCCAAAAATAGCAATACTATATATATAAATATATATATATATATATATATATGTATATAAGGATCTAAGATATAAGCTAAACAACAATAATATAATATAATAAGATGAAGGTAAGGTAAGAAATCAGCAGCATGGATAGATAAAGTGTCAAATATCCAATTAAGGTGTCATTACAGTGATTTTTCTGGTTAGGGATTCATGAGTCTTAACAGCTTCAGGGTAGAAGCTGTTCCTACACTTAATGCTCCTCAACCTCCTTCCTGAGGGGAGCGGTACAAAAAGTGTGTGTGCTGGGTGAGTGGGGTCCTTCATGATGCAGGTGGCCCTCTTCCTGTATCTGTGTAGATGTCTGTGATGGTGGGGAGGCTGACTCCCAACATCTTCTGTGCAGCCTTCACCACTCTCTGCAGAGCTTTTCTTTCTGCAGCTGTGCAGCCTCCATGCCACACGTTGATGCTCGAGCACAGGATGCTCTCCACTGCACACCTGTAGAAGGAGGTGAGGACTGAGCATCCCAGACCAGCTCGTCTCAGCCGTCTGAGGAAGTAGAGTCTCTGATGAGCTTTCTTGATCAGAAGAATTTTAACAGACTAATAGGCAGATTGTTTTGGTAATGGTCCAGAAAATTTTCAAGTTAACTTAACACTTGAGCTTACCAGTAATTGAATAAATAACATGTCATTTGAGCTAATTAGCTCACTAAATTTATTACAGGAAACTCCCAAATTACAGCAGGGCTTGCACCTTTTAACTCCATGCATCATGAAGGGAAATCATTTTATTATGGGAACTGGTTGTTTAAATCACGAGATGTGTTTTAGGAATGTGCTGGGTGTATTTTCAAGGACAAAAGTTCACTTTTGAGCAGAATGCTCTTGTTTACACGATGAGGACCTGTTGTGTAATAACTTCATTAGCCGCCACAGAGGCAGATGGAGAATGTTCAGTGTTCCAGTGGGATCTCCATTTGCCAAATACAGGACAACAAGCTTTTCAAGGTTTTTAAAGGAACACATTAGGGTCTTGTTTGTTTTTAAGGCACTAAGGGTTCCTGCAGAACTCTCCACCGGTGTCCGAAATCTTATCAGTGAACACTTGGAGCATAAATATATCAGTCTAGGATTTATAAACTCAACTTGGGCTTTTCTTGCAAGTTTTACAAAAAGTTTTGACCTTTTTTGGTGTAAAATAGTTCAAAGATTTTGCCATTTCCTACCTTTTTTGAGGACTAAGCTGATACTGTGAACTGAGTTACCAATTATTATCTGTGCTGGTCCTTTTTGACTAACTGTCATGTGCATTTCTATAAAACTCACAAAAAAAAAAGACAAATTCCTAACTTGAGAGAAGTCATGGAAGCGCAGGCGGATGTAGTCAGTAGAAAAGATAGAAGCAGACCAAGAATAACTTTCTTTTGTTTAGTTTTTCAGTGAGCACTGATTGTTTATGCATGTGGTTTTTGTGAACATTTACAGGTAAAGTATTGATAAAATTACCACTGCAGCTAATTTTGACAATAAATTAGACTTGATAGAGTAGCTACATCAGACAAAATGTTGTGTTTTGCTTTCAACTTGAGGATTGTGTCTGTTAAACAGTTTACCTGCAAAATTATTACTGCTTGTGTTCCCACTTGCCTCTCTGTACAGAGTGGGATTTTCAGTTAAATTATGCATCGTTTCTCATCAATGACAACAGCTGGAGCCACATGTGTAAATCCATTCACCTGTCTCAAATTAGGGACACCTGCATGGATCCTGCTGTAACATGTTTAACTAAATAATGTGTATTTTAGTAACATAAGCAGATAGATCTTATATAGCCTGATGCATAAAAAACACCGTCCCTTGTTGATATTTTGTTAAAACCCACATTATTGATTATTGGTGAATCTTAATGATTTTTCACTAAGAGGACTGACTGCATGACACTTTAAACAAGTAAACTGTTGATCAATATTCGTGCTGTGAGGAGAAATGGTCTGTGTAACACAGTTGATTCTTTTTTTTTTAAATAATTAAAATCTTGTTAGTTTCCACTTATTTTGTGTGAAATTTGTTTATGAATTATGAGTGCAAGGCTTGGTCTGACAGCACTTAGTCACATTTCAAAAGAGTAAATAATGTTATTATGTAAAAAAAAAAAGAGTAAAAATAGAAAGAAAGAAAAAAGAAAGCCTGGATATATTCTTCAGGATGTGGTTCAGTAACAAAACAATGAACATCCAGCGGACTCATTTATAAATCAAACTGAAAACTGTGGTTGGAAATCAAATAAATCCAAAAACCTCTGAGGTAAATTAATAGTTGCCAAGTCTTTATGAAAGATCAGATTTCTTTGATTTGTTAACTACACAGTTATTGATTGGTGCTCTGATAGAGGGACCTGACTAATGATTGCTCCACTCATATTTATGCTTCAAATTTAGACAAGTGACACCCTAAAATGATGACTTTTAATGCTACAGCACGCTTTTTTGGGTATTTTGGGTAATAGATAGATAGATGGACGGGCGGACGGACGGATGGACAGATAGATAGACGGATGCAAGATGGCTGGATGGATGGATGGACGGATGCTAGATGGATGGATGGATGGATGGATGGACGGATGCTAGATGGATGGATG